GCTCGGTATGCGAACGCAGTGTTCTATCGACCGATGTGGACGCCTTTTACACCACGCCGGGGCACCTCTATCTGCGAGGCTCAACGGTCGCTCTTCCTATCATACGTGACATGCATGAATGAACGGGCACCACCTCGACGTGAGAATACATACATATGATTTAAGATTCTCGCGGAAGCCTGGCCCGCGAACTCTTCCTTTTCATCGATGCGCCCACTGTATGAGCGATCAGCGCAGCGCACCGCGATAGGCCTTTTCTGGGCTTTGAAGAACCGTTGCAGTGCCCATGTTCCACTAATATCGCAGTCCTGACTCACCTACGAGAGCAGGCGCAGCTCGCGCTTATGCACACAACGTCCACAAATGCCGTGCCCCGGCCGTGGCATGCTTAGTTGGGCTCGGGACAGGATTGTAGTGCGCCAACGACCGAGGTAAATGTTTTCCATTCCGTACCAGCAACGTGTCCATCTATGAGCCTCGACGGTCGCATTCTGTACTAGACGCGATGTGCATGAATGAAATGGGCACTTGACTTGACGTGAGAGACCGTGTACAGATTGGGGTTCCTCGAGGAGCCTGGCCCTGAGCGCGCTCTTCTTTTCGACAATATGCTGACTGTTTGATGATCAACGCACCGTAGTAGGTCTCTTCTGGACCTCAAAGAAGCGTTGCAATAAGTAGAAATGGCCTATTCATGGTTCGCGCGGACATTGATCCAGAGGCGCGCGTGCGGGTGTCATACAGCTGTGAACCAGAACCCACGGTGCCCATCATTCTCCACTAGTGTCGCAGCCCGGACTCTCCCATGAGAGCCGAGAACGGACGCAGGTCGCGTCCGTGCGCACGACGTCCATGAACGCCACGCTGTCGCATTCTCCAGTGTACGCGACGCACGCGAACGAACGGGCACTCGCCTCGACGTGCGACTCGGAGGCCATGCACGGATGGGATTCTCCTGAAAGCCTGGCCCGTGCGCTCTTCTGCAGCACTGGCAGACGGCTTGGCTCTGCGAGGTTCGTGTGCACACTGATCCGAGAGCGTGCATGAGGGTGTCATACGGCTGTGAGTGCTGGAACCCATCGTTCACTGCTACGGTCGCAGCCCGAACTC